TGCCCCAAAGATCCCCTGTCCCCTGCAGAGCCCCCAGGAGCTGGAGGGTAGGGACGGCCCCGATCCTTCTCCTGGGGTGCAAGGGCACGGGAGCTGCATCTGAAAACACACTGGTTTTCTTCCCCCCCGCCTTAAGCCAGCTCCTTGCCAGATGATTCAAGAGCAAAACTATCTCGGCTGCTCCGTGTGAGCGTCTTGGCACCGTCCGCAGGAGCCTTGTGACTGTGCTCCCCGTGGGGACTGCAGGGGTGCTGGGGGGCCGTGGGTGGCGTGGGGGATACAGCCACGCAGTGCAAGGGTGATGGATGATGCCGTCCACAGGCTTTGGCTCCCGCTCACCGAAGCACCGAGGTGTTGGGGCCATCGGCTCCCATGTGCTATGGGATGTTATCTAGAGTTGCTGCCGTGGGTGCCACGGGGCTGCAGGAGGAGGTGTGCAGCCTGCAGGCAGGCTCCTTGTCCCAGCCCTGCTTCTAGCCTGTGTCAGGGCACTGGAAACACCCCATCCTGCCTTACCCCCACCCTGGTACCCCCTGGTCTCGGGGCGAGGAGGACTCTCGGAGCAGCACCTTTCCTCTCCCGGCGCTGATAACCAAGTTGGGGCTGGGCTCGGAGCGTGTCCTGGGGTTTGGGAGGCTGGCGGGCTCCTGGCTCCAGCTCCGGTTTCCCTGACCATGGGGAAACACTCGGTGCTTTTCTCCTTCTCTGTGGCACGGTGTGGGATGGACCCTGCCATGGTTACGGGTGCAAACAGGCCCACTACACCCCGGTTATTTATATCGCCCAGAGCAGACAGGCCGCCTGCTCCACCTCTCCTAAAGGGCTGCTGGAGCGAGGGACGGGGGATTTAGAAGACATTCTGTTTATACAGCTGCGAACGGTGCTCGGGGAGCTGAACCTCACGGGCTGGGGAGGTTGGAGAGCAAAGCACCGTCCCCATCCCTGTCCCCATCCCCACCGGAGCTGGGCTTAGGCAGTTTTGGTCCAAACAGCCATTTCCCACGGTGGCACAGTTGGGGGGTACCGCCTGGCTGGGCACCCAGTGCTGCTGCCCAGCACCATGATGGGGCCAGGCTTGGCCCGGGAAGGGAGCTGTGCCATTCGGCAGAGGCTGTTTGCTCACTCGTCCCCTGGCTGAGCTGTTTATCCTACGGCGCGTGGTATTTTCTTTCCGCTGACTTATTGCTGGGCTGTCAGCACGAGCCTCCCTGACTCTGCCTGCGCCCCTGGCTCAGGGCTTCTTTGCAGGGGGAGAGCGAAATGGGGTCCGGGCCAGACCCGCCAGGGCAGGGGGGTGCCCACCATTACCCCCCCTTCCCAGCCTGGACACCGGCTGCTTGTTGGTGACGTGCCACCCTGCTGCCCAGGCTCTGAGCATCACAATCCCATCAGCGTCGGCTGCACCAGGGTGCCGCGGCACAGCTTTGCCCAGGCTATACCGGGGTGCAGCCCGTTTGCCCAGGGGTGTTCGGGTGGCCGGCTGGTGCCCCCTTGCCCGGCACCGCTCCTCGCCGGCCGGGGTTGACCTGGCCCCCGCTTCCCCTGAGCTCAGCACCTTTCCCGGCTCACCTGTTCTTCCGCCGGCACCGCGTTGCCGATGCGGGCAAGAGCATATGGCAAAGTCCGCTCTAATGAAGATTAATGTGAGGAGATTCGCCTTCTCCAACCCGGGCGCCCCGCCGGGTTTTAATTATTATTTTGGGGAGGAGTGTTCCTGCGGACAGGCTTTGCTCCTGCAGGGGTGAGAGGAGCTGGAGGGGTCCCGTCCCTGTGCCCAGGCTGCCACCGGCATGTCCCCTCCCGCACGGGGACGTGTGCCAGCAGGGACGTGTGAGGGCGGCAGCAGGAGCGGGGGGCTGCTGGCTGGTGGGGGCTGGCGATGCAAAGTTTATTGAGGAAAGCTGATGCACCGGCTCAGCAACAACAGCATCTGCTCCATCCATCCCCCGGGACCCTGGCGCAAGGGAGTGGGGGGACAGTGAGACCCCTGCCGGGTCCTGCCCCATCGTTTCTGCCCCATCCCTGCTTTCCCCGGCAGCCCTCCTATTTTTTTTTTTTTTTGGCCCTGCTTGGTGAGTGAGAAGAGCAGCATATTCGGGAGGGGGAGCGTGCCGGTGGGGAGCCTGGCACTGCCAGCACCACTCAGGGTTTGATGGAGAGGTCGGTCGAGCCCTCGGTGCAGGGTAGAGCTGCTGAGAGCAGCACTTCTGCCCCGGAGGGCTGCCCGCTCCGAGGGGGGACTGGGGGGGGACACGGCTGGTTCCTGGCTCACCGAGCTGCCTTCAGGCATCTGACCCTTCCCCTAAGCCGCTTAGGCCCTGCCAGCAGCCGGGACGGGGCGTTTGCCCAGGCTTTACAAGTTAATTCCTAGCAGGTGATGTGTTCCCAGAAAGTTTCTTTCCCAGCCGGCCCCGTGGGGCCTCGCATGCCTGTATCCTTCACCAAATCCTGTAGGATATCGGGGCGGCCAGGCGGGAGGCATCCCCACCCCAAGGATGCAGGCTTCCACCACGGCTTCCGTGGCACGGCTTTACCAACCGGTCCGGTTGCTCGTGGTGCTGCTGTGGGGACAAGTGACAAGGGGGGGCTCCGGCTCGGTGCAAAACCACCGTGACTCGCCGCTGCCCGAGGCAGGGCCACCCGCAGCATGTCCCCACGGGAGCAGCGTGTGCCCAGGCACCGGGGACCCCCCCCTTCCCCACTCCCCGGCTGGGGTGAGAGGCACAAATCTTTGCAGGCTGGGAGATTTCTGCCTTCTCTTCTGCTTTGTGCTTCGCTGCCCATGTAATTGCCTGCTAAATCCTGATTGTATAATCTTTATTGCTGATGATGCACAAAGCAGAAAGGCTCTGCCCGTGGCTGCTCGGCCAGGTCTTGTTTTGCTCCTCACACCAAGGGCTGTGGCCGGGACGGCGGTGACCTCCTCGGTGCTCCCTGCCCGCGGCTCCGATGCCCTCTGTGCCGGCACGGGCAGGACAGGGGTACCGGTGTGCCCGGCTGTGCCGTTGGCTGCCGGAGGAGTTAACGGCAGAACTGCTGTGCCGGAGGAAAGGGGCTCGATTAATAATTCAGAGGGAGATGGAACTGGCTCCAGCCTTCTGCCTTGCAGATGGGGAGTGCCTGGGAGAGGAGCATCATCCTCCGCAGCGAGGGCAGGGCACTGTCAAACCTGCGACCCCCCCGGCCCCTTCACTGCTGTAGCTGGGACGTGGTGTGTCGCTCCAGCTCTCCCTTCTCCGTGCTCTGGATCCAGCCCTTCTCACGTTCCCTGGGGTTTCTCTGCTGTCGGTCCCATCTCCATTTTCCCCTCATGGCGGTTTTGGGGAAGGGGCCTGCCTGTCCCCCTTTATGCTGGGATTTTGAGTTGGGTACTACCCGCCTTGCCCCACTGTGGGCATGGGGCACTCAGCAGCCCCCTCATGCCCTGCCCGGGTTTGCAGACCCCCCCAGCCTTACAGAGCACAAACTGTGGGTTCGGTGGGTGGGTGCGCGTGTGTCCCGGCATTGGGGAGGCCCTCGGCTCTCCTCACCCCCAGTGTCTGCGCCATGTCCCCTTGGCCAGGGTGGGAGCATGGTCCCCTCTCCCCCACGTCACCCAGTGCCTCCTCACCGGCCCTGGGGCAGACATGGGGGTCAGCTCTGCTTTCACCCCTCGGACACCCCAGGCAGCCGGTTTGGCTCTAAAGCCCTATGTCAGCAACAAGAAGAGATGGGAAAGAGCTCCTGAGTGGGTGTCGGGCAGCATCTCCCCGAGCCGAGCCCCCCGCACTCTTTGGAGCACCATTGATGGGTCCCGTGGGCACTGCTCACCCAGCGGAGATGGTGCCGGGGGGGCGAGATGGGTGCCCACCAGCTCAGGGACAGGGTGCCACGGCCACCTCGCTTGCCCTGCTGGCCTCAGCCTGGCCGCCCCGGTGCTGCCGGCGGTGCTTCCCCATGGCACAGCGGGGCTGCGGTGCCTGGTGGGGCCGTGGGTGCCCGGAGCCCCCCGTGCCGTTACGGAGCCGGCTGTAGTGGAGCAGTGGCCCTTTGCACGCCGTCACGTGGGCCGGTGGCACAAGCCCTCCGCTTTCCATTTTTAGAATCGCTGGATCAGGGGAAAAAATGTATTTTTGGAGTTTGATTTGCTTCAGCTTCAGAGTCTATTTTTTTTTTTTTCCCCTCCTTATTTTAAATGGGCCAAAGCCCCTCATGTCTTCACCCAGCTCTCAGGCACAGCTAGCCCCAGAGCAGCTCCTTGTTAACTCTTCCCCCAGGTCGGCTGTTCCCAGGTGGCCCCCGTGTCCCCAGCAGGTCCCCACGGTGGCAGCGATGCTGGGGACAGTCAGGAGAAGCTCTGGCCCCCCTTCTGCAGCAGCAGCACACTGCCACTGTTTGGGACCCCCCCACCCCATCTCCCTCCCTGCTTTTAATTAGCAGTTGTTTTGCCTGGACAGAGGCTGCAGGGCTGTGCTGGAGCCTGGCACGGAGCCCCACGTCTGCCGGAGCCTGGTCCTCCTCCTCGGTGTCTGTAGGGCAGCCCGGGGATGTGCTGTGCCACCAGCCCGGACTGGGACACGGGTGCCATGCGGTGCTGGTCCCCATCACAGGGGGGACCAGTGGGAGCAATGTTCCCTCTGGGCATGGGTCTTGGGGGGGCCAAGGCTGGGCATAGAGCCTGTCTCGGCTGTGCCGGAGGGATGTCCAAGGAACGGTGGGATCCCGCCGTGGGCTTGCTGCCCTGGTCCCAGGGAGGTGCTGCCTGCGCTGGGCATCCCAGTGCCACGGACAGGCTTTAGGCACAGCCCTGCCTCTGCGCCCACGGGCAGCTGCTGCTCGTGGGCTCCCAAATTGCTCCATGCCACCATCTAGGGGTAAACCGTGTCCATGGTGGCTCAGCCACAGCCGTGGAAATCTGGGCTAGGGGGGGTCAGGTTGTGAGCAAGAGCCAGCACTGCAGGCTGGGCTCCCCCCGGCCAGCCCCGATGCCCGCGCTGACACGTTTTCGTTCCAGATTCCTCCTCGTCTTCAGCTGCCTGGTGCTGTCGGTCTTCTCCACCATCCAGGAGCACCAGAAATTGGCCAACCAGTGCCTCTTCATCCTGGTAAGTGGGGAGCGGAGCTGCGCTCGGACTCCCTGTCTCCACATGACACCCCAAGAGACTTGGCTGACATCATGGACAAAACCCCTCTGACCCCTTCCCCAGCCCAAATGTCACTATTGATCCCTGGTGTTAATGACGGCAGCCTCTCCGGCACATCGGGGAGAAGCTGCAGGGTGGCCTCGCTGCTGGGCGGCTCGGGGTGGCCCATCACTGCAGCTGGACCTCCGCGGTGCGGAGAGGCATAAACCGCTGGAAAAGGCAGGGCAGGAGGGGCTAAAAAAGGCAACTTTCCCCCAAACTGTCAGAAACAGCTGACGCTGGAGTTCTTCAGAGTGATGGAGACTAAATTGGGAAGGTCCTTGTGACTTTCCCGCGAGTAAGCAGAACGGGGGCTTGTTTGTGCGAGAGGTAGGAGGACAATGCTGACGGCGGAGGAAAAGGACCCAGCTCGGTGTGAGCTTGGCACAGGTAGGAGAGCCGGGCTGCTCAAACAGGCTCGACGGCCACGGCTCCCGTCTCGCTGCCCTGATTCCCCCGGGACGGCTCCAGCCAGGGCTGTGCCAGGGGGGTGGCCTTGGGGGGGACACACCATGCTCCCCCCCCCAGCACCGTCCCGTCCTCAGCACCAGCATTTCATTTTGCCCCCTCCAAAGCCGCCCACCCAGCTGAATCCCCCACGCCGTCCTGCCCTCCCCACCTCACCCTCCTCTACCCCCCCCGGCAGGAGTTCGTCATGATCGTGGTGTTCGGCATGGAGTACATCATCCGCGTCTGGGCGGCCGGCTGCTGCTGCCGCTACCGAGGCTGGAGGGGACGCTTCCGATTTGCCAGGAAACCCTTCTGCGTTATAGGTACCGGGGAGGGGGGGAGCTTTGGGGGGAGCACAGATTTGGGGACTTGCGGCGTCACCCACGCCGCGGGTGTTTGAGAAAAGCCCGCGCCCCCTGACCCTCGCTGTCCCTTAGATTTCATCGTCTTCATCGCTTCCGTGGCCGTCATCGCCGCCGGCACCCAGGGCAACATCTTCGCCACTTCGGCGCTGCGCAGCATGCGCTTCCTGCAGATCCTGCGCATGGTGCGCATGGACCGTCGCGGCGGCACCTGGAAGCTGCTGGGCTCTGTCGTCTACGCCCACAGCAAGGTAGAGGAATGCGGGGGTCCCCAACATGGCCCCCCACACCCACTCGAGCCCTTCTCACCCCTCTCCTGCCCCGGCAGGAGCTCATCACCGCCTGGTACATCGGCTTTTTGGTGCTCATCTTCGCCTCCTTCCTCGTCTACCTGGCTGAGAAGGATGCCAATGCCCAATTCGCCACCTACGCCGACTCCCTATGGTGGGGCACGGTAAGCTTGGCCACCGGCGGTCCCCCAGCCCCGGGAGGGGATGAGGAGGGTGGGACGGGGCCGCGGCGAGGGAGGTCCCTCCAGGCTTCCCCCTGCTCTGCCCCCGGGCAGGTCACCCTCACCACCATCGGCTACGGGGACAAGACGCCGCAGACGTGGCTGGGACGGATGCTGGCGGCCGGCTTCGCCCTGCTCGGCATCTCCTTCTTCGCGCTGCCTGCCGTGAGTAGGATGGGGGAGAGGGTCCCTGCGCCTCCTGCCCTGTAGAAATCGGGGAGAAAGGGACCAAATCCCACCACTGCGGTGGGAGGGTCCCCGTCTCTCCTGGCTGGCGGCGGTGGCGTGGTCGGCACCCACGGACCCCGTCCCCTCCCGTCCCCAGGGGATCCTGGGCTCCGGCTTCGCCCTCAAAGTGCAGGAGCAGCATCGGCAGAAGCACTTTGAGAAAAGACGGACTCCGGCAGCAAACCTGATCCAGGTAGCGCAGTGCTGGCGTGTCCTGCCCCATCCTTTCCCGGGGATGCTCCACCGTCCCCCGCTCCATCTGCTCTGCCTGTCCCTGCCTGCTGCAGGCAGGACCCGAATGCCTGACCCCCACATCTGGCAGCTGGCTCCTTTGGGCCGGACTCTGCCTTTGGTGGCCAAGGGGGATGGAGAGGGCTGGCTTGGGGGGCGGATCTTGCCTCCTGCCCCCGCGGGGGCTGATCCCGATGCCCGTGGGCTCTCGCTCCCATGCAGGCTGCCTGGCGCCTGTACTCGACGGACGTCAGCCGGGCGTACCTGACGGCCACGTGGTGTTACTACGACAGCCTCCTGCCCTCCTTCAGGTAAGCAGGGTGCCGGCGAGGGCTGCAGGGTTCCCTGTGGGGTCCCAGGCTGATGAGCAATGTGAGCAGCCCCTGCCACGGGGGGCCATGCGGACCCACCGAGGGCTCGGTTGGGCTGAGCAGCACGGACCCCTTGCTCAGCCCCGGGACACCGGAGCCCCAGCACAGCACCTGCCAAAATGTCCAACACCCTCCTCCATCCTCACAGCACCCGGCACCCATCCCACCCTGTCCTCTCTTGCCCCATCCATAGCCATCTTCCAGCACCGCCACGGGGAAGAGGACGATGCCGCCGGCCACGGGGAACTCGTGGCTGTGGCGACGGAGCTGCAGCTGGCCAGGAGCCGGCTCCAAGCATGGTGGCAGAGCGGATGGACCTGGGGGGGTCCAGCGGGGAGCCCTGCAGGGCTCTCCCCTCCTGTGGCCCCTGGGATGTTGCCACCACGGGTGGATCGAAGACTCTCCGAAGCCTTTGTGGACTCCCTGTGCGTTCCCATCACACCGAGCGCAACCGGGGTCTGCCGTGCGGTCCCCGTGCCCGAGCCCTGCCCCAGGCTGGCAGTGCCCTCCCGCCTGCCTGTGCATCCTGCCCCTGCTCCAGCCATGTGTTCCTTTGCAGTGACAAATTCATTGTTCTGTTTCACTCTTTATTTTTTCAAAGACAGAGCTCTTAACAGCCGTGGCAGCGAGTCCCTCTTGTCCCTGACCAAGGAGATACGGCTTCCCATGCACCGCTGCCAAGCGTGGTACCGGGCTCTCCTGGCATGGGCATCACGGGGGGCTCCACCAGCCCCTCCTGCTCTGCCAGGAGCCATTTCTCCTGTAGCAGGGATAGGGCCAGGCTCGATCCCTGCCGGGTCTGAGCTTTCCCCTCCTGGCTGCTTCAGCAATGCCCAGACCCCAGATCAGATGGTGGCAGGTCCCCCTGTCTCCCACCCCATGGCAAGGGTGGTCGTCCTGCCTGGCCCCTGCCTGACCCATCCCTCCCAGCACGGGTCCAGCCCCTCTGCCAGTGGCCAGTCTCTGTGGGACCCTTTCCCAGCACATCCCCCTCCCCAGCACCGTCACCCCCAGGTGCCAGCAGCACCCGCTGCTGCCTCAACCTGCTGCCCGAGCTGTTAAGAAACTGTCTTTTGAAAGAAAGTGCTGGTTTTTGCTTGTTTTGTTCTGGTTTTGCTTTGGTTTGCACAGAGGAGGACCTGGCTCTGCTCAGCCTTGGTTTGCTCATCTCATTTGCTTTGGAAAGTTTAATTTCTCCATGTTTTTATTTAACCCCAACCTCAGAGAGCTGGCCCTAATGTTTGAGCATTTGCACCGAGTCCGCAACGGAGGATTTAGGAATTCAGAGGTTAAAAAATTGCCTGACGGAGCCCCACCGCCTTATCACTCCTTCACCCCTGGCCAGAAAAGCATCAGCCCTGCCGCTTGTTCAGGGGAAAGGTAGGAGGGTGCAGCCCCACGGCCCCGCGTTCTCTCTCCTCTCTGCCCTCTCTCCTCTGCTCGTCTCTGTCCTCCTGCGATGCCACCGCGATGCCTGTCACCGCCAGAGCGGACCCCAGAGGAGCAGCCCCCGGTCCCACTCCCCACCCAGTGCCGTGCTGGGGCGTCCCTCCAGCTCTGCCGCTGGCTGCCGGCATTGCTCCTGGCTCACAGCTCTGGAGGGGGCACATTTGGTCCCCACGAACAGACTCTGGGCTCTTGTACCCGTCGTGAAGCCTCTTGCAACATTCAGCTCCTTTTTCACGTGGCCACGGCACCGGGACCTCACACAGGGTAGCCAAGCGTGGCTGAAAATGGCCCTGCAAAGGCAGCGCTGCAAGCCCGTCGGGGCTGGAGCTGTGTGGCCCTGCTGCAGAGCCAGGCAAGGAGCAAAAAACAGTTCCTGCAGTCCAAGACGGGCTTCCCATGCCCACAGCAGCGGGGAGCAGCGATGCCAAGCTGCCCCAGTGCCAACAAGAAGAGACAAGAGGGTTCGGGGCTGCCACGCTGCTGGCGGCAGCTGCTTTGCACCATGTCCCCGGTCTCCTCTGGCCGAAGAGCATCCTGGAGACCCCGGCGTGCCACCACGGCTGCTGGCCTCCCACCCAGGACATCGGCACAGAGTGGGGCCCTGGGCCAACGTCAGGGTTAGGTGGGGAGAGGGAGCGCTGCTCCTCCATGGCATCGTGCCTCAGTTTCCCCCGTGATGCTGGAGACGGGGCTGTGGGAGGTCTGGCGTGGCGTGGGGATGTGCCGAGCCGTGGGGCTGTGGCTGCCCTGCTGTAGGTGTGGGGCCGAGGGGGACCTGCTCACCCCGCCATCCCCGAGGTGAGTATGGGCTTGGGGGGGCTTCTCCCTGCGGCAGCACTGGCCTGGGCTCGGTTTCCCAGTGAACAGCCAGGAGCTGGCAGGGGAGACTGCAACCCCCCGGCCATCCCACCCAGGGGGGCCTGAGCCTTCCTCCATCTCCTCCACGAGCATCACCTCTCGTAACATCTCATCTTCTCTCTCTCCTCCCCTCTCCTGCTCACCCTCCTCCTCTCCATCCCACCAACCTACCCCCAAACCTTCTGTGCCCCCCGCTCACCCCCAAGCTGGAAGGAGGAGGACGTGCAGCCCCACAAGTGCTTACGCCTCAGGTAACGTTCAGCCCCGGCAGTGGCCGCAGCAAGCGGGCAGGGGCCGGGGATCCGCAGAGCGGCAGCGGCGTTTGCACGGTCACCACCATTCAGCTGCTCGGCAGCACGTGCCGTCACCAAATCACTTTTTTGCCAGAGCTCCGCTGCTGAGAAACCAGACTTTGCGGGGCGGGCATGAGTGTTTATGCAGGACCTACACAAACAACTCCACTCGTGCTTCTTGCCTCCACAGCAGAAGGGGGTACCGTGGCCAGGTCCGGTGCAGCGGGAGATGCTCACCGGCAGCAGGCAGGGACCCTGCGCCCACGCACTGGGGTGCTGGCATGCCTGGGGGGGGTCGGGGACGTGGTGACCCGGGATGCTCCGCTCCCTCCCGGCCACGGGCTAACTCTCGTTTTCTCCTGTCTCTGCCCTGACCCTCCAGCCTGATCTTTAGTGGTAAGAGAAGGCTCTTGCGGACATGGGGCACGTGGAGACGGAGGTACTGCGTCCCGGCTGCCTGCGCTGGGCGGCTGCGCAGGGCCGGGGAGCACTGGGTTTGCATGGTGCTCTGTACTGGGCTGCCTGCCGACTGCGGGGCAGAGGAGGGTAGAGGCTGAAGGGTCATCCTTCTGCAGGGCAAGGGGGTCTATGCATGGCCTGGGCTGAGCTGGCTGTCCCCGCTGGCTCCCGCTGGCTCCCACAGCTTGCCCTGCCTCAGTTTCCCCCTCTGTGCAGCATGGATGAGCCTGGTCTGTTGGCCGTGCTGGGCTTGCCGAGTCCAACAACAGCAAACTGAGGCACTTGGATAAACGTTGTCCCACGTCTGTCCTGCAGCCTGGTTCCCCGGGGGACCGCCCTACCTGTCCTCCGGCACTGCCCTGCCTGCCCGGGACCAGTTTGCCCACAACCTGCATGGGGAGAGGCTGGGAGCCCAGTGCCCTGCCTGTACCCCTGCCTTGCCCTGGGACTCCTGGCCCAGGAAATCCAGGAGGCTCCCCAAAACAAACGCCGGGGTTTTGTGGAGCCTGTTGTGCAGCAGGCGTGGGGTTTGCTCCGCATCCTCCACGGCTTTGGCTTCCTCCACTTGCAGGGCTGTGCGTCTGTTTGGCCTCCTTGCATGTCCCGAGGTGTGCTCGTGGTCCCACATCACACAAAAGGCAGCGCCAGATGGTAATTTTGTGTAGGTCCTACATAAACGATGCCTGTTGTCCCCTCACCACCGACCCAGTGGAGCAGCTGGTTTCAGGAGCAGAGCTTGCGTTAGGGCAGGAGGGGGCTGCTCCGCTTGCCCACCGGAGCAGAGCCTGAATTAGGTGGTGCAGCCTGGAGGAGGAGGAGGAGGATGAAGGGGCCCGGCTGGGTGCCCCAGGACACCCCATGCCAGCAGGAATGGGGCAGCAGGAGCAGGGCTGCTTCTTGCAGGACTGGGGCCGATTGCTCTGCCGGCGGCTCTGCTGCGTGTCCTACCCGCTGCCGTACCTGTCTCTCTGTGCTCTCCCTGTCTGTCTCTCTCCTCCTTTCTCTTCTCTTGGGGGAAAAAAATGGTGTTTAAAGGAGTAACCCCAGAGCTGCTCCTGCACGGGCATGCGGTACCGCCTGCTCCTGGCCTGCCTCGCACGCGAGCTCGTGCCCGTCGTGTGCCGGGGGCTCTCCGTCAGCTCGGCACAGCCACCCCCCTCCTCACCCCCAACTGCGGTGGGCACGTGTGTGCCCACAGCAGGGATCCGCTCCTCTCCCCGTCCCCATCCCCGTGCCCCCCGTCCCCCAGTCACCCCTGACGCTGCCCACCCCGCTCTCCCACGCAGCAACAAGATGGGCATCAAGGACCGTATCCGCCTGAGCAGCTCGCAGCGGCAGGGCAGCCGGGGCAGGCAGCACCTGGGACCCCCCCTGCACCGCTCCCCCAGCACCGAGGACATCCCCGAGGCTTCCAGCCCCACCAAGGTGCAGAAGAGCTGGAGTTTTAATGACCGGACCCGTTTCCGTGCATCCCTGAGGCTCAAGCCGCGGACCCCAGTTGAGGGTAAGTCCTGGGGAGTGGTGGGGTCTGGGTCCGGCTGGGGGGTTGTGCTGGGGGGCTGCAGGTGTTTTGGGGGGCACAGAGGGACAGCCCTTAGGGTCTGCCACCCACCCACTCTTGGCACTCACAGCCGACTGCCCGCCAGAGGACAGCAGCGAGGAGAAGAGCTCCCACTGTGACCTGACCTTCGAGGACATCATGCCAGCAGTGAAGACCCTCATCCGGGCTGTCAGGTGAGACTATCCCCTCCCGCGTCCCCCAGCATACGTGCTGCCATCCTTAGCTCCTCCACAGCTCTCAGCCCTTGGGGATGAGTGGACGTGTCCAGAGAGCCCCGGTCCAGCCCATGGCCGTGGCCAAGCTGGGCAAGGAGCAGGGATGGCTCCTGGCTCAGACCCCCATGGGGACAGCGATTGGGACCTCGGTGCTTTGCATGTGCCCCCCGTTCCCCCAGCATAGAGCCCACAGGCACCCCTGGTCCTCCCCCGTGCCCTGCAGCCAGCCTGGGTGTCCCTGCAGGATCCTGAAGTTCCTGGTGGCCAAGAGGAAATTTAAGGAGACCTTGCGTCCCTACGACGTCAAGGACGTCATCGAGCAGTACTCGGCCGGCCACCTGGACATGCTGGGCAGGATCAAGAGCCTGCAGATGCGGTGAGATGCTCTGAAGGCGGCCGGGGGGGGGGCTCTGGGCTCCCCTGGGTCTCCCACCACTAGCCATGCCCACTGGGAGGGGTGCTGGTCCATCACGATGGGTGGAACATGTTCCCAGAGCCCCGTCCCGATCCGTTGTGGTCTCAACATACCCTCTGGTCCACTGAGAGTGATGGGCTGTGTCCCTTCCCTCCCTGCCAGCGTGGACCAGATCATGGGCAGGGGGGCCCTCGCTGCAGACAAGAAGATGCGGGAGAAGGGGGAGAAGCCGGCGCTGGAGACGGAGCTGGTGGATGAGCTCAGCATGATGGGGCGAGTGGTCAAAGTGGAGAGGCAGGTCAGGGGGGGATGGCCGCCGGGGAGCATGTCACTGTCCCTTCGGTGCGAAGTGGGACCCCCTGGGTCCCCTCCCCGCGGGGAAGGACCCACTCAGCCCTGCCCACCCTTGCAGGTGCAGTCCATTGAGCAGAAGCTGGACCTGCTGCTCGGTTTCTACTCCCAGTGCCTCCGCAAGGGCTCCATAAACTCCTTCAGCCTGGCCGCCGTGCAGGTGCCCCCCTGCGAGCCCGACATCACCTCCGACTACCACAGCCCTGTGGACCACGAGGACATCTCGGTCTCTGCCCAGACCCTGAACATCTCCAGGTCGGCCAGCGCCAACATGGACTGAGCGGGGAGGCAGTGGGATGGATCCCACCAGCGTGCAGCCGGTGGGATGGGATGCCGGGATGTGGGAGCAACGTGGCATCGCCCAGCTCCGTCTAGCCACGTCCCTGGCCATGTTACTTGAACCAAGTCGTCCTTTGCGGGGACACGGCTGCAGCGGGGTGCCCGCTCTGGGGATGGGGTGGGAGCCCGTGGCACTGCAGCATGGCCAGACCACGCTCCTGGGATGCTCCTGCCCTTCCCGGGGGGTGAGACCCCCCTCCAGCTCCTGGGGCCTCGAGTGCTCCCCAGCCATGGTGGGGATGCTCTAGACTGGCCCCATCCCCTGGGGTTTGGGTCGTACCCCCCCAGCCCTCAGGACATGTCCAGCTCCCCAGTGGGGTCCTGCCTGGTCCCCCAGAGCTGAGCCGGGACCACCGCCAGCTATGCAAGGCTTCATCTCCCTTCCGCTGCCAGTGCCAAGCAAGGGCGTTGGGGCACGACCCAGTGTGGTTTTACCTGCGTTGCTCCAGGTCAGGGCAGCGGCAGGGGCCCCCCCCAGGCCGCTGAGCGGGGGGCTGTCCCCCCCTCACTCTCCTCTGCCTGGGTTGTTTCCCTGCTCGCAGGGCTGCAGCGCTGCAGCTGCGGCTGCACTTCTAGAAGCACAGCAGAGCCTTCTGCCTGCCCGTGCATGCTCCCAGGGCAATATATATATAGAAGATATATATATATATATTTATGCAATAATGTCTTAATATGCAACACCCCCGGGAAGAGCAACCCGTGGGGACATAGGCAATAAGCAAACCCCCCCTACCAGCACACAGGGCTAGATCCTGCTGCCCGTGGGGGCCCGCCTGGGTGCCCTGGGGGCTTGGGGCTGGGTGACAAACCTCCACCCGAGGGTGGCCCTGGGGCCACGGGGCTGGGCAGGGCCTGTGGAGGAGGGAGGGATGCAGGCAGAGGTGATGGGGACAGTGGTCCCCAAGGAGCATCCCTCCCTCTCATGTCCCAGAACCTGCCCTTGCTTAGAGGATTCCTTCTTGCTTAGAGGTCCCGCGGTGCTCGGTTTGTCCCTCCCCATGTCCCCATCCCCTCTGTGGTCCGGGGAGCACGGGCTGGACCTTGGGGGGGGACTGCCCAGTGGGGACAGAGCGGTGTTGGCCATGCCTCCCCGCATGCCACTCGTGGCAGAGCCACAGCAGCTCCCGCGCTGCCCCACTCCCCCCAGGAAACCCTGGGGCCGGTTTCCAGTCCCGCACCGCTGGGCTGAGCCAGGCTGGAAGCGATCGTGGTAGTGCCAAAGTTTGCCAAGCTGGGGCTGGTGTCTGCTCCTGCATGGCCGGGGATCCCGGGGGGTCTTGGTGGGCTTCGGACCGTGGGATTTGCACACACCCCCCTTCCCAAGCCCCCCCCGTGCCTCCGCTCCTGGCAGCAGGGACCCCTGACCCTGCTCGTTTTTCCTGCCTCGTTAGTGCATGTGGCCAGCATGGGCCGTGCCAGAGCCGCTTGCAGCCTCCCCCCCGGCTCCTGCACCACCCTGGCCCCCTCGCCCCGGGGGTGCCCGTCCCCCCCGGCTGGGCCGTGGGGGCAGCGGGGGCACGAGGAGACAGCCGGGTGCCGTGGGTGGGCAGGCGGGTGGGTCGCTGCGTGGGTGCCGTGGGTGCCCGGCCACGGGGCGAGGGTGCATGCGACAGCTTTGCCTGCAGCCGCACGCAGGAACTAACTCGTAGGACCCCCCCCTCCCCGCCGTCTCCCCCGGGGCTGGCTGGTCCCCGCAGACCTCCCCAGCCAGAAGTAGTTACCTCACTTGATTAACTTATTAACTTATTTGTTTCATTAAAATTTGGAGTAGAGGCTGCCTGCCTGCCTGCCGTTTCTCTCCCGGCTCTCCCGAGAGGTGGCACTCCAGCCCTGCCGGCCGGAGGACCCAGGCGTCCGGCCACCTCCCTGACCCCCCCCCTGCCCCAACCTGGGCTCCCCTTGAGCCGCCGCAGCCCCCCGAAATGGGAGCGGGACCCCACCTGCGCCTCGGATCGCCTTCCCCGGCTCCGTGGTGGCGTGTGCCTGGTGGCCGCAGGCCTGATGCCGCTGCAGAGGGGCCCGTCGTGCCCTGCGTTTCGAGCCTGGCGGGGAGGGTCACTGCCCCCGGAAGGGCCTTCGTGCCCCATCTGCCTCTTTAGAAGTGTCACTGGCGTGTCCCCAAACGGGGATGACCCTGCGATGGCCCCAGGGCCATCCCAGGGGAGGCGAGGGTGGGAGCCCCCTTCCCCAGGAGACCACAACCCCTCAAGGGACGGCAAAGCCTTCGCCCCATCCCTGGCCGCTGGCACTCCGCGGGGACAACGCGTCCCCCCAGCCCGCAAATGTCGGGGGGGCCGGGGGGGGCCCCTTTCCGCACCGCCCTGCCCCGGCGCTGGCTGGGGAGGAAGCCGGGGCTTGCCGCAGGTCGGTCCCTGCCTTTCCTGGCTGCCTCTTGCCAAAAATCCCGCTCCTGGCTCGTCCTTGAGCCAGCACCTCCTTGTCCCGGCCGCACCGGCCCCACTGCCCCCAGAGCTGCTGGGACAGGGGTCTCGGGGTGACTCCGGTGCCCCCCGACCCCCACCGAGCACTTGGCGTGCGGGGTGCCATCCCTGGGGTCCCTCAGCCACCCCCGGTGCTGCGGACGTCCGGCTCACGCGCGGCCCTGGGGCTGCTTTGAAGCAGAGGCTTTGAAGGGGGGGCCAGGACGTGGCAGCACCCGGAAAGCCCCGAATGAGCGAACCGGCCGGCTGGGGTGGTTTTCGAGGGACGTATCTTCGCAACAGCGGGGGTCTTCACCCTGCCACGGGGTTGTGCATCGCCGGGGCCGCTGACCCCGCACCCCATGGGGATGGTGGCGCGGTGCAACGCGTGCAGCTCGGCAGAGCCCGTAGGTGTGCCTGCTGCTCCGTGGGGCATCCAGGGACAACCCGCGTGGGTCTGGGCTCTTCCCACAACTCTGTGGAGCGGGGCACGGGTGCTGCGACCCGCTCCCTCCCCCAGAGCAGATGCGGGCGGCGAGGGCAGGGCAGGCATGCGTGCCAGCCCGCGGCACTCGGCTTTGCTTGCCGCAGCCACGTGGGCCCAAGGTGCCCGGGCTGGACTTTATCCCGCTCCACCTCGGCTCCCCCACATGCGCAAAAGGCTGCCGCTTCCCGGAGCTGGGACAGGCCTGGATGGCAGGGACACGCGCTGGGGGGGGAGATGCCAACGTCGGAGGAATGCAGCGAGCTGTGACTCCGCAGTGCCGGCTTGCCGTGTCCTGCTGAGAGCGACGCTTGGCACACCGAGCACAAGAAGGCTGCAAGAAGGGGGCGAGGGGGGGCTCGCAAGCACTTGGACTGTCGCGCTCCCACCTCCGCACACGAGCCCTTATCGGCTGGGGGCTATGACGGGAATGGGAAGGGGCCAGCTCTGCCGGCTGCACCCCACAGTGTCCTCAGCTGCTGCCAGGGAGCTGCCTGGCAGGAGCACAAGGACCGGGAGCCCAAGCCGGGGATGTCCTCTTTGCCAGTGGCTTTGCTTTGTCCCTTGAGGGTCTTGGGGAATTCGTGACTCACTCTGGATTCCTGTCGGTCCAGTCATGGAGCAAGTACGTGAGGCTGGAGACAGTCGGACTCCGGGCCGGACCCAGTTCCTTCCTGAGGCGCTCAGCAGCCCTCCAGCTCGGTGTGCTCAGCCCAAGGCTGCGCTTGCAGGAAAAGGCCCTTCCGAGAGCGCTGGCCGAGCAGCCGGGCGGGGGTCCCGGGTGACGGGGCTCTTGCAGGACCCTCGTTTGGGCACCCTGGGGTCCCAGGGAGCAGGTCAGCCCTCAAAGCCCAGTGGGATGCAGTGCTCCCCATGCAGGGGCACCCAGGGTGGGAGCACACCTTGACTAGCCGCAGCATCCTCCCCATGGGCTGCAGCCAGGAGCCCCCCAGCCCGTTGCCCTGGGTTCAGCCCCTGCCCCGGCTCCCGCAGCCACCCGGGGAACCTCGCTCCCCCCGCTGCCACCCGTGATGCCTCCTGTTCTGGCTGCCATGAGGCATCTTCGAGGAATCCTTTGGCAGCGGCTGGGAGATGCTCCTCGAGGGCCAGAGACAGGCAGGAGACCCAGAGCGGGCAGCTGAACCCCCCCACACCCAGCAAGTACTGGTGCTGCTGAGGGAACTGGAGCCTGTGGGGCAACCGAGACCCCCCCACCCCACCCCGGTCCCTGTGTCCTCAGCACCTGGCTGGATGCTGGCAGCGGGGACACAGGTCTGACTCCAAGTGACACCGACTCCATGCCCTGGGCTGTAGCCAGCTGCCCAAACTGGGGTGCTGGAAGGGGGGGGTGGGGATGGACACACGCAGCCCCCCCCCCTTCTCCTCCCCACACCCTGCCCCAGGCAGCAGAGGGACCCCCCTGGATGGAGCAGGGGGGTGCTGGCAGCGCTGCCG